TTCCAAATGAATTTCTTGCATTGTTGCGTGGTAATGCTGGCCAATGCTTCGGCCTCGATCCACTTGGTGAAGTAATCGATGGCTACGATTACAAACTTCTTCCCTCCTTGGGCGACTGGGAAGGCTCCAATGATATCAACCCCGAATCTAGCGAATGGGACGACATTCGATACGGGGTGGTAGTAGGTCGCCGGTCTACCAGGATACTTATAGAATACTTGGCACGTCCTGCATTTCTGGACGTACCTTTCACAATCCTGGACAATTGTTGGCCAGTAATATCCCAACAAGATGATTCGCTGGGAAAGCGTACGGGACATTTGATGCGCTGCGCATACGCCTTCGTGGACTTCCGCTATGACTCGCTCAACTTCCCGCTTGGTTAGACATCTCAGGAGTGGCCCCCCAAATGCCCTTTTATACAGCTTTCCATTAAGAATCTGGAATCGGGGTGCCCTGAGCTTCACTTTTCTTGCCCGGTCATCTAGTTCTGGCAAGCTCCCATCCGTCAAATATTCAATCAGATCATACATCCAATGGTCGTCCGCCCCGACCAAGTTTGACCGGTCAAACTGGCTTCCGACCGTTATAGCGTCGACTTCCAATTTCTCGATGCTTCCATGGTCAAGGATCTCTACCCAGGCAAGTTTCGAAACATGCTCGGGAGCATACTGCGTCAATTTGGAGAGAAGGTCTGCATCCGCGTTCTCCGCCCGGGGAATCTGGGCGATCTTGAACTCTTCGAAGCCTTTCAACAGGGCAAGTACAAGGTCCTTGTATTGTGCCATGCGTCCTTCCCTTACTTCCATGTTACCGGTCACCTGTCCTACTATCAGGCTAGAGTCAGATTTGATACTGACCCGGCTGATTTTCAGGGCTTGGGCAAGCCTGAGCCCTCCAGCCAGAGCTTCATACTCCGCCTCGTTGTTCGTCAGCTTGAAGTTGAAGACGATTGCATGGTAGATCTTGAATCCTTCTGGTGTGGTGAACACGACACCACCTCTGTATCCTCTAGGACCGGATGCCCCATCAACTGCCATCTCCCACCATTGCTCAGTTGGCTTGTTGACCGGTAAGTCTGGAGTTAGACTGGTCATTTCTACTAGGAAATCGGCAAGGGCCTGTCCCTTAATTGCCGACCTCGGCCGGTACTCAATGTGGAATTGAGTTAACATCATTGCCCACTTCACCATCCTCCCGGAGGACGTTGAATTTCGCAACACTGCACCCAGCGATTGGTCAGTCAAGACTTCTACCGGGTGAGCTTGGAAGTAGGATGTTAACTTTTTTGCGGAGATGAAAATCGCGTAGG